TAAAAAGAATATAAGAATATATTTAAAAGATTTAAAAGCCTTATAAGATATTAACTTACTAATTAAATTAAAAAAAGGTTACTTTTATATAAAAAAGTAGATTTTTAAGATATATTAATATATTTAAAGAAATTAAGATAAAATAAAAAGATCTTAATAATAATAAATTAGTAATACTTAAAATAATTAAAGAAATATAAAGCTTCTTAAGATTTATTAATTATTATTAATAATTTATTAAAGACTTTAATAAAATTATAAACCTATTTATAAAACTTATAAGAAAAGTAAAACCTTTATATAATAATTAAAAATATAAAAAGTATTTAAATAGTTATAATAAGCTATTTTAATAAACCTATATTAGTTATATTTAATTTAATAAAGAAATAAAACTGAAGATTAATTTATTAAATTTTATATTAAGAAGATATATTAAATAATATAATAATTAAGGTATACTATATTAATTATATTTTACTTATATAAGCTATATAAAGTAAAACTTAATTACCTTATATATAATAAAGAATCTTAGTAATTATTAATTATTTTAAGGAGTTTAGATATTACCTTATAAAAAGTAAATATTAAATTAAAGTCTATATTAATTATTAAAATATGTTATATTTTATAATAATATAAGAACTTAATTAATAATAGTTATATTATATTAAATACTTATATAAATTTAACTAATAATTATTTATTATAAAGGTTTAAATAATAAATAAGCTAATATTATTAACTAATAACTAGATTATAATACTATTATAATAAAAGTTAAAAAATAACTTTCAAAAAAAATAATAAAAGAAAATACTAATTTACTTAATAAGTAAAAACTTTAAAACTGATAAATAATAATAAAGCTATAAACTAGAGGAATAATTAGGAAAAATTTAAAATATTATTATAAGATATAATATTTAAGACCTTATTAAAAGTAAAGTAGAAATATCTATTTATAATAATAAATTATAGGTATTTAAATAATTTAAAGAAGAACTAATATAAGATATATACTAATATCTCTTATATAGCTATTAAAGTATTATAAAAACCATAAAATATATCTAGATATATTATAATTAAAAAGGAATTAAGAAAATAATAAAAAAAGTTATTAAATAATATAACTTATATATAAAACTAAAATATAAAAATATAAGCCTTATAGGCTATTATAGCTATTAGAAATAATAAAGAGATTATAAAGTTTAATTATAATAGACTTTATAATTAAATTACCTTTATTAAAAGAACCTTTAATTAGAATCTTTTATAATAGTATTTTAGTTATAATAAATTAACTTATTAAATTCTCTTATTATATACCTTATAAAGAAGATATAAATATAAAATAACTTACTTATATTTTTTATAATAAGATAGTTAGAGAATATAAGTTATTATATAAAATTCTAATAGATAAAGGAATTATATTTATAAGTAAGTTCTAGTAAGTATTTATAAAATATATAAGACTAAATTACTAATTATTAATAGTTTTTAGATTATAAATAAATAAAAAAACTAAATAAATAAATAAACTAAGTACTAAAATAGTATTTATAATATTATATTGATTATAAATAAAATAATTAGGTATAAAAGTTATTAAGTACCTAATTTACTTATAATAGAATATATAATAAAAATATAGAAACAATACCTTTAATATTAAATTTTAAATTTACTCTAGACCTATATTATATAATATAAAAACTAAAAACACTTAACCTAATTATTATAATTAAATATAAATAATTAAAAGCTTTATATATAGAATTAAAAAGAAAATTAAAATATATTAAAAAATAGATAAAAAAATACTATAATATAAAAACAATTACAAGACTAACCTTTATAAAAGGAAATATAATCTACTTAGCTATAAAACATATTATAATAAAATAACTAAGTTATTTTTTTTCCCTTGCCTTTAGCCTTATATAAGGCTATTAAGCTTTTTAGCTTTTCTATTAATAGTTTAAATAATAACACCCCTATAGCAGGCTATTATTATAAAAGTTAAAATTAAATAAGGTTTATCTACCTTAATAATATAATTACTGCCTTAATTAAGTAATACTAATACTAGTTATATTTTAATAGCTAAATTAACCTTTTTCCTTTAACCTATTTAAAGGATTATACCTTAGTTAACCTTTATAATATATTATACTTAATTTATTTATTATAAAGTATATTATTTAACCTTACTTTTCTTTTTTTAACCTTTTTTATTAATAGTATAATAATTATATTACCTTAATACCTATTATATAAAATAGCTTATAGTTATATAATTATACTTATTATATAACTAATTATAATTTTAATTTAGCTATTAAGCCTACCTTAAAGGCAGCTAATAAAAAAAACTTTATATAATATATATAATAATTATTATTATTATAAAGAACTTTTTATTAAGGGGTAAATCTAACCTTATTAAGGTAATTATTTTTAATTATAACCTAATTAAGTTAATTAGTTTTATAAAAATAAGGTATTATATTAATTTAATTAATTTAAATTAAGTTAATAATAAGCTATTAGGTCTTAAAGACTTAAAAATAGCCTTAAAGGAAGGTTATTTTCTTTAGTTATATAAAGTAGCTTTCCTTATTGCCTTTATAAGCCTAAATTTAGCTATATATAAAGAGTAGCTCTTTAATATATCTATAAGGGCAGCTAATATTACTAAACAGCTAATCTTAAATTAGTAAAGACTAGCCTAGTTAGATAAACGCGGGGTAAAGGCGGAGTTTAAAGGAATTATGTTAAGTTTTGTGTAAGTTAGTTGGCGAAAGTTAAATTAATCTAAAGTCATAACTAGCTTAATTAATTAAATACATATAGTAGGGCATATAACTAATTAACCTTATATATAAGAATAGATAAAGTGAAATTAGTAAAAAAGCAGTAGTTTAAACTAGGGATAACTAAATTATAAATTATATTATAAATATATTAAATTATATAAAATAAAATAAAAAATCTTAAAAAATAATTATAAATTAAACTTATTACTAAAAGTTAGGCTCTATTTAGTTTTTTATATTATATTACTAGAATTAGTAGTTAATATAATATAAGTTAATATTAATAATAAATTAAAAGAAATTAAAAGACTAAAAGTCTATAAAGTAAAAGTAGTTAGAAGTATAAAAAGAATTAATAAATAAATAAAATACCTTATTAAATAATAGGATTACTTAGAAAATAAAAATATATAAAAACTATTAAAATACCGTATTAATACCTAATAACTCTTAAAGAATTTATATTAAAACTAAAAGAATTAAGGAAGGCATTAAGGCTTAATAATCCCTATTTAAACTATTTAATAATAGCAAATTAATCCTAAAAAGACTTATTAATTATAATACCTTTTAAAATAGCTTACTTATTATATTTTACCTTTTTTAATTTATTTATAAAGCTAAGACTATATTAAATTATATTTAAGCCCTTTAATTTTATTTAATATTACTAATACCTTAAATAAGTAATTTTAGTAAATTAAGTATTTATTATATTATAAATATAAATAAACTTTACTTAAAGATTAATTAGTTTATCTTTAATAGCCTTTTCTTTATACTTTAAATAATATTTCTTATTAATAATATTTTTAGCTAATATTATATTATTAAAAATTATAAAATAATTTTATATTAAAAAAATATACCTATTACTATAAAGAGATTATAACTATTATAAGATATTCCTAATGTAATATAAGGATTATAATAATTCGATTTTATAAAGTTAAAAATATAAGAATTTTGTATTTTTTAATAAATATAATTAAAATAAGGTATAATAAGATTCTTAAATATTATAATATAGATATAAAGAGAATTATAATTTTTAATAAAAGTTTTCTTAATTTTAAATATATAGTTAGATATTTTAAAGGATTATAAAATTAAGATTATACTTATAAAAAATAACTAATAGAAAATATATTAACTAGGCCTTAAGGATAAGGTCTAAGGGAGGGGAGAGATTATATTATAATCTTAGTAGTTTTATTATATATACTTTATATTTTCTATTAATTACCTTAGCCTTTATTAAAAGATAATTAATATTAAGACTTTATAATTAAAGCTAATCTATTATAATTAATACTAATTTACTTAAATTATTATTAATTTCTTAATAACCTTATTAATTACCTAAAAATACCTTTATTATATAAATTATATTTATTAATATTTTTATAAAACTTAGGTTACTAACTATTAATAAGACTTCTTTACTTTAATAAGCCTAACTTATATTATTAATTATTAAGAGATATAATACTTTACTATTACTTAATATAATACCTTTTAACTTTATAAATATAGTACTTAATATAAATTAATTTACTTTTTTAAAAACCCTAATTATTATACTTTTATTATAATAGCTTATTATAAAAGTTTTTTTATTTAAATTATTAATAAAAAAGCTAAAACACTAAATAGCTTTTTATAAAATTAAAAGTAAAAAAGAAAAATTAAATAAAATAATAAAATAATAAAATAATAAAATAATAAAATAATAAAATAATAAAATAATAAAATAATAAAATAATAAAATAATAAAATAATAAAATAATAAAATAATAAAATAATAAAATAATAAAATAATAAAATAATAAAATAATAAAATAATAAAATAATAAAATAATAAAATAATAAAATAATAAAATAATAAAATAATAAAATAATAAAATAATAAAATAATAAAATAATAAAATAATAAAATAATAAAATAATAAAATAATAAAATAATAAAATAATAAAATAATAAAATAATAAAATAATAAAATAATAAAATAATAAAATAATAAAATAATAAAATAATAAAATAATAAAATAATAAAATAATAAAATAATAAAATAATACTTTTTATAAAAGGGATTTTTATAATAATTCTATTTAATATAATTATAATCTCCCTTTATGCCCTGACTTTAACTTCTCACGCGCTCGCTCTAGAATCCCTCTCGCTCGTGGTTCTGACTGTCCATCATACGCCGCGATGCCCTCCCCTAACGAACTGCTCATGCATAACGCCTCTGCCAAATCCCACGCATCACATAACGCCAGGTTCGCTCCGCAGCCAGCAAAAGGTGTCACAGCATGGTTAGCATCACCAATGAAAACAACACCCATTCTGTCAACATCGTCATGAGTGAAAGCCTTCTTGTCTTTTGCGTTAATAGCAAACACGGTCTTTGTATCCGTCCTTTCCACAATGGCTCTGAAAGGGTCCTGGAACTTATTCCCAAGATCGAGACTGCGATCGATCACTTCTTGTACCATTTTGTCGTTCTTGAGATCTAATCTGGGGACTTGTTCATTTTCGAGATTGCCAACCCCCAGACAACGCTGTTCCTGTCGACTGGAGAAAAGAAGCAAGAAACGCCGGTTCCTGAAAGTATAAAACCCCAGTCTTTGTCGATGGGCACAGGAGGCGTTCCTTCAAATCGAGCAATGCCACCTCGGAGAATTGCACCGGCAAATTCGAGGTTGTCATTTGGTCGAAGGTATCCTCGGAGTTTGCTGTTCGCTCCATCAGCGGCGATAAGTAGATCGCAATCTTCCTTGGTGATTGTTTCGTGTCCTGGATGTCCACTCGCGACATGAACTCGCACTCGTCCTTGGTCCGTTTGCCTGGCTGAGATGCAGCGTGAGTCCCACTGGACCGAGTCTTCCGGTCGGAGGTTATCGTGTAGGACCTTCCGAAGATCCTTGCGTGCTATTCTAACGCTGGAAGATGGTAGCTCTTCAATTGGCTCGTGGCGGAAGCTTGCGTGTTCATGCCAATTGGGCCCCCAGATCTTGAAAGCACCCTCTCCATTGAGGCCAGAAACAGCATTGCCTACAACCTGGTCAAGTAAACCCAGCTTCTTCAGGGCAATGAGACCTCCAGAAGTGTCGTATCCGGTAAGAGATAATGTGTAGCCTTCACGTTGAGCGGCGACGTCTGGTGAGTCGCGGTCGTAGATGATGATCTTGGGCGCTTTGAACTGGGGATTCCATAGTTTGCGTAGTCCAACAGCGAATGCTGATCCAGAAACACCACCGCCAGCGATGATGATGGTTTTGCCTTCAAGAAAGTGATGTTGAAGTGATGTGTCGTCCATGGTAATGTTTTGTGTTGGAGGAGGAGAGAAAGGCCGGCAGATGCCTTTATATAAAACAAAGTTGCCATGGCTTACGCACTTAAAGTCACACGAATTGCCCATATAAAGGAGCGATTCACTATATGTTGTGGATGTTGACAGCCTGGTGGTATTCCTCACTGACGATGCATACACTGATTACCCAACTGGGTATACGGATTGCCTAATTGAGACATGACCGGGGTTGACGAGTCTACGACTGTAACTTCAGTTCTGTTATTTGTCTCGGAAGTTGAAATCATATGAGAATCGCAAGTTTTCTTTGTTTCTATTCTCCGTTATAATGTTCGGCAGTTCTTTACGGGCGCCAGGACGGTAACAGCCCAAGGTAGGATTTACCTAATCGGGAGTTTGCGAAAAAGAAAGCTAGATAACTACTCACATCTGTTATTCACATGCGCGCTTGGTCCTCGTTGAATGCGGATCTTGCCTTGAAGAATCAGTATCTAAAAGCATCATAGTCAGAGTAACCTTGAGTACTGGGCACATCAGTTGCTTGCTCATCGGGGGATGTGACTTACACCTCTATGTACTTGTGAGCAAGGCTTCACCGAGGATACACACCAAAGGTTCAAGGGGGCCACTTGACTACCAGGTTCAAGGGCGAGTCAAGCGATATCTCAATATCAAAAGTCCTGGGATCTATTAGCTTCGACAAAGTAGGCATTCCGTATATTTACCAATCCTTCACTCCCCAGCTGATGAGTAGCGGTGATTACATTGATGGGCTATTTGATTCGTTCGTGATTTGGATGCAAATGGAGCCAATCAGATCGCTTGAAATAGATCCAATAACCCAAAACGGGAGATATGCTCCATCAAACCGTCGATACCAAACGCTTTTAAACTGTTCGCAGTTTACATCATTAATACCAAAATGATATGCGTCGATTTACGGGTTACTTGTTGCTTCTATTGACAAGCTCTCCAGGTGCTCTGGTCACAAAATGCTAAAATTCACACCATGACCCCGCACTGACACCCGCTCCCCTCCATCACCAAAAACCCCACCAAAATATTATCATCACCAACCTTCAAAAAACTTCACATCCATTCCATACATTTATCCTTCTGACGCGATGGCGTCCGATCTCTCAGCTCCTCCCGTTCTTTCAACCCCAGATGACCACATCCTCGAAGTTCCCGCCGCCGACTCCATCCCAACATCCACACTCTCCGACGATGCTCTCCGTGAAACGTACGAGGTTGTTCGCACAGCCGATGAGATCCGCGCTGGAGGATGGAGCCGCATCGGCTTACAGTTCCCGGACTTTATGCTGGTAGACGCTCCTCGTGTCGTAGAGGCTTTATCGAAGGAGCTTAGCGCACACGATGCGCAGGAAGAGGGCAAGGCTGAGAGGAGGATATACGTTCTTGCGGACAGCAGCTACAGCGCCTGCTGTGTTGACGAGATAGCTGCGGAGCACGTTTCAGCAGATGTGGTAGTTCATTACGGCCGAACATGCCTTAGCCCTACGAGTCATCTTCCTGCGATATACGTTTACACCACGCACGATCTCGATTACAAGATGACCTTGGAGGAAATCAAGAAGGAGTTTACCGACAAGACTGTCAAGCTGGTCATAATGGCGGATCTGACATATCAAAATCACGTTGATAAAGTGGTTTCCCTTCTGAAAGACGAGGGTTATACCGATGTTGTTTCCACAGCAGTAACGCGCGATCCCGCCGCCTTGATACCCAACCGCAAGATCCTTTCCGACGACGCTCATGACGACGAACACTGGAAGGCTTACTCCATCATCCACATCTCCGACCCGCCCTCTGCGCTCCTTCTCGCTCTATACTCACGATTTGCCTCATTACACGTCCTCGCCACGCCATATTCAACCCTTGAGAACCCTACTATTCGCACGGCAGGTCTCCTTCGTCGTCGATTCGCGAAGGTGCTGTCGCTCGCTTCTGCCGGTGTGATCGGTATCCTCGTGAATACACTTTCAGTTGCGAACTACTTGAGTTCTATCAATACTCTGCGCGAGAAGATTTCTCGGGCAGATAAGAAGAGTTACACCATCGTCGTAGGAAAGCTCAACCCCGCGAAGCTGGCAAACTTTGCTGAGATTGAGGGTTGGGTCGTGGTAGGATGCTGGGAGAGCGGCTTGGTTGAGGATGATGCTGGATACTGGAGGCCAGTTATCACACCGTTCGAGCTTGAAGTGGCACTCATGAGCGAGGATGAAAGGGTCTGGGGCGGCGAGTGGTGGGGTGGTATTGAGAAGCTGGGACTCAACGACAAGCCTCAAGATGCGGTGAACGAGTCTAAGGATGCTACCGTGCCAGAAAAGGATCAGTTTGACGATGTCGCTGGGGGCGTTGAAGGAGAAGAATCTGCTCCACCCGAGTTCGACATGCGCACCGGCAAGCTCATCTCATCAAGTCGACCTATGAGACTTCCAGTTCGCAACAACCCCTCTACCGCCAACACCACCGAGGCGATTGGCGACGGTCCCGCTGGTGGGGCCAAGCAGAATGATGCTCTTATCAAGCGCAGCGTTGGAGAATTGGCAAGCATCAACGGTGTCGCGAGTCCTGGAGCCGAGTTCCTTCGCTCTGGTCGCACATGGCAAGGATTGGGCACCGATTTCGACAATGAAGCTAGCACATTGGTTGAAGAGGGTCGAAGTGGTGTTGCTCGAGGATATCAAGTCGGAGAATCGGACAAACATTGAGGGAAGGTCACATAAAAAAAAAGAGAAAAAAAAAGTGATACCATTTAGCATAACACGGCGTTGGGATATAGACAAAAGTAAAAGGCGAATAGTCATGGTTCAAGATATATATTCTGAGGTACTAAGCTCGCTGTTCTTTTCATCGCTCGTGTAACAGTGAAGTCATATTATATACAATAGAATCATCGACCGAAGCAGCCTCCAGGGCCTAAGCTGCGGCATACCCGTATCTAATCATAGCTCTTCCTTACCTGAGCTTCATTATCCACCTCCGAAGCATGGGAGACAAAGAAACATCATCAACATTGTATCATGTTGGTCGTCAGTCCATACGATTCCATCCAAACAATAAGAAATATGTTCTAGGAGAAGTCATAATGCATGAGGCCGCTTTCCTTGCGGCGATTGTAACTGGGTCTCTTGACCCTTTCCCATAATATCCCCCTTGCGCAGTCTTTCATGGGGTGAATAAGGATTGGATCCCTGGCACGGAGCACGATGTGTTGTTACTCGAACGCCCATCTAGTGCCATAGGACAAACGGAAAAGGTCGCGAGGCTGCGAGCTCGCGGGTCATTGGGCTGAGGTATTGTGGTACTTGGGCATACGTTGCAGTGGAGTATGGATGCATTGCCGAGAAAATCAAACTGGCGGTGTCTCCCGGATTGCTCGTTTTTTTGGCCTGTGCTTCCTGCGAAGCGCAATAGCAGGATAAGGTTCCTAGACATAGACACGTCGAGAGTGAGGACGGCTGCGGCTGCTGTAGCGAGAGCCAGAGCGGGAGCGGCTTCGGTGGCTGTGACGGCTGGAGTGGTAGGAACGGCGAGAAGAGTGGCTGCGGTCATAGGCGCTCATGTGTCCGCCGTGCATGAAAGCAACAACAGAAGTAATGGCAAAGAAGATGATGTTCATGATGCCAAACGCCCAGCAGGCCTTGAGCATGGAGCAGGGCTTGTTGTTAACGAGGTCATAGCTGGGGCCAATGACACGGACATCGCCAGCGGAGAGATCCCAGTCGTCGCCACGTTGAATGCTAATACAGTCGGTGTTGCTAACGTAGCGAAGGTAGTAAACAGCGGCGATGAAGGCACCGAAGAAGAGGGCATCAACGAATGCGACAAAGTGGGCGTTGGTCGAAGAGCGGTGGTAGCTGAAGAGGGTGAAGATTGCCCAAGCAAGCGCGAGAACCGAGACAATGAAGAGGATGAGGATTGAATCGGGGGTCAGGGCGTTTTGCTTGACGAATCCATTGACGAACCAGGCAAGCATACCCATGCAGGGGATCTATCGATTGACTGTTAGCCTGCGACCTGGAGGATGAGCGCATTATATAGGGACCTACCAGAGTGAGGATCTGAAGGATCCGAAAGAAGACAAAGAACATTGCGAAAAACATGTTGGCGGCGTTTAGCTCTGCAGCTCTATCTCGATAATGTCGCACAGAAGTCGCTGATGATAAGTTGTAATGCGCTCAAAGAGCGGGGAGCTGAAAAGAGATGACGTGCGCGGGGGACTTATACGATGCTTGAGTGAGTGAGACAATGATTCAAGCAATAGACAGATCGATATAAGTAACGCTATCAGACTGAGTCAAGTGGTGATAGATGGATGAAGTAGCAGGAATGAGAGGAAGAACCGAGGGAGGGAGGGTGTGCGGGAAGAAAGGTCTATTTTGTAGGTACCACGGAGCAAAGTAAAGCAAAGCAAGTGCAATCGCCCAAACTTGTTCCCATCCTTGGTCTTGCAAAAACCCACGATTCAAGGTGGTTGGTGCTTGAGAAATAGATGGCGCAGGACCACGCCCAGAGAAACAGAAAGGTGGGATAACCCTTGTAAAGACCACCCCTGTAATTGCAGGATGTTAGTGGTTGGGCCGTTAGCAGGTAAGGGACTTTAACTCTAAACCCTTGTAAGTTTAGCGACCTCGAGCTGGTTTCTTCTAGGGCCGTCGGGTTCACGAGTTTTCGGTGTGTTTAGGTTCCATGCTCATTCTATGAAGCATCCCGAGCCTGAAAATGGAGATGAAAGGTTCATGCGCTGTTAGTATCGGCAAGGTTTGGCCTTTTCCGTTAGTTGTCGTCCGTTCCCCAGACTTGCAGCTGTTCAGCTTCAATCTTACCGGCGATGCCGAAATTGGAGCATGACGTCGACTTGCACTAGCAATGCAAGCACTCAAGCAAGCAAGCGATTGAAGATTGATTCAGATCAACTGGATTGCAAATCAGGATAAACACTGCTCTCAATCTAGCCAAGAGAATAACCAGCAAGGGATAGCAGTTCCAGACCCTTTTCGTATTGCGACGTCATCAGAATTGAAGAGGCTGGTAAGCTCATATGCTCCCAAAATGGTAATAAATACAGAAAACAAGTTGGCTGGGTATCAACCAAGAGAACCCCTTGAACAGTCCCTAGTTAACATCTGTAGCATCATTCTTCAACTGTCGCAGATTCGGTGGCTGGTAATCATGCATCTCCACCGATATCGTCGCTTAGTTCAGGAACATAACACAATCTGAGTACAGCTTGCATCGCGCCTTATGCACGGCGCCCTGGGCCGTCCCGCACGTTTACTGTACATACGTTTCAGAGATCAACCGATATGCGAACTGGCGATTGACTGATAGACGTCCTCTTCCTCTTATTTCGGCAGATCCGCATAGATCAGCATTGAAACAGCGGGTACTCACTCTGTTTTAAATCGGTGGCTGGGGATCGTGATCAACAGGTACGATCTGACCTAGTTCAGTGGGCCAATTTCTCATAAATCGTCTTGTTCATTAAAGGTATTAATTAAGTGTACGTGTATCCATAGTCCGTCGTTACAGGACTTTCATTCTCTCGGTTCCTCCGCATCCTCTCTCGAACTCTTGGGCTGATGAAACCCGTGCCGAGAGACCCACCTGACGCCGTGTTTCGGTCCTCCGTGGCGCCGGGCGAGTTCAGCTGAATCGGGAAATCATTGATCAAACTCATATCAACGTCGTCTCCGAAATCATCACTCTCAGTAGTCCGTTCTGTTTCTGCGACCCAGCAATACGATCTCTCATGCGCTTCTTGACCAATGCTTTCACTTGTTCCTCGTTTCCATGGCGGTATCTTGGCTCCCTCCAGCCTTGGACATAAGTGATAATCGACCTTGTCGTTGTACTGCACTTTCTCATCATCAACAGACACAGAGGCTAGCGACTGAAGGATTCCGTATATAAGAATCCAGCGACTACGCCTTGCCGTAGCTGGATCCATGTCTCCAGTGTCGTCGGTCTTCTCGAAGCGCTCAAAAGCATCAGCGAGTTTGATCTCCGGTTCATCGAAGCCGGTATTCTCAGTATAAGCAAGTCGTATCCTTTCCTCCAACGCGCTGAGTTGGTCGCCTCGAGTCTTTGCGATGCCTCTTCGGAACGAGCCAACAGCTGAGATCGATTCTGGCAGTAAAGGAAACGGATGAGGAATATGTGGGAAGCGATGCTTGTTGTCAAAGTCAATAAGCATATCTGTCAAGTGCATTTCCCTCGTGTCTGCCTCAATAGCCCTCCTCTTGCTCTTTGACACCATCATCAATCTACTTCCAAACTGGATCTCCAACGAACCCCAAACGATATCTCTGTCAACCATGCAATCATATAACTCCCCAAAGTCCTTTTGAAGTTTCATGACCAATGTCCGTGTTAGCCAAGTTTCGGGTCTCGAGGAGCCGATTGATCGTCCAGATCGACTGTCAGACTGTGACGGTGGCCATGATCCATATTCCTGTTCGAAGTGCTGCAACAACATGTCCTTCAGCCTCTCAACCGCCCTCATCTCCGATCCTGTCTTGGGTGTGAATGCCCATATGTCTTGGTACCTGAAGCCAGCCAAGCGTTCCTCTGCAGCCTGAACACGATACTGCATCTCGTGACTCGCCATCTCCATAAGTTTCCTCGTGTTTGGGTTTATCTGTTTAAAGTCTTTGAGTTTCTGCACAACATCAAACATGCCTACGCAGTGCGTGAAGCACTCCCTCCATCCTTCTTCCCACCGCACATCTGGCTCTTCTGACCAGATGAGGAGTGATACCGCTAAAGCAGGATTGTTTCGTACATCGTCGAGATCTCGGTTATAGATATAGCGTACTAACTGTCCGACGTTGTCGTTATTCGGAGGCATGTAACTGTCCAGTCGCACGTGAAGATCAGATAGAGCCTCGTGTAAAGACAGGCCCACCATCGAAGCGTTGAGTAGCAGGGCAAAGAAGTTGCGTGTTGTGAGCTGATGACGGAGCTGATCGATGCTCTTCATATTCTGCGGAGGTGGGAAATGCATCTCATAAAGAACTTGTCCTCCCATGTCTCCAATACTGGTGCGTCCAGATGCAGGCGGTGTCAGTGGTGAATTTCGAAATTCTTGGCCAAGCTTTCTTCCATAGGATTCAGTGTTTGGTGAAGGCGGAGAATGAAGATATCCATCAAGCAAACCCTCATCCAGAAGAGAGATGAGATACCGACTGTTGATCGCTTCAATGATATGAGAGGAAACTCGCACCGATGGTAAGCTCTGGCCTTTCTTCCCAAGGTAGATCAGAACATCTCCATTGGGATCCCAAAGCTCTGGATCTCTTCGAAGCTTGTTCCATTTGGTGATAGGTCTTCCTCCTCCACACCAGCGTCTGATCTGCGGTGGTGGTGCAGAAGGTGTCTGTGGGATTGGGGGCAGTTTGGCAGTTGGTGGTGGTCCTACGGGTGGTAAACCGAAAGAGAGTTGTGATGTCGGTGTCAAGGGCATTGGCTTCTGAGAAGGCGTATAAGAAGATGTCGAGGTCAATGTTGTATCTGTTCGGGCCACAGATTGTGAGTCCCAGCCGCTGCTTTCGTTAGGACTAGGACTCAGCATGACGGTAGGTTGTAATGTTTCCACACTTGGTCGGCTTCCATTGCTGTCTTGATCGATCGGTTCCTCTTCCTTTTCCTTCTTTCGAAATGTGAATGTTTTCGCTATTGTCTTTCTTACATCGTCGCTTCGCTTGTCGAGTATCGTTCGTAGTCCACTCCTCTCAATAGTCCCATATTCCTCCGGCAGTGTCGCCCTCCTCGGTTTGTTATGAACCCATTCCTCAGCATATTGATTGCTCGTGTACGCATCCCGATTCCAATCTGGCGCCATCATTGGTCTTCCTCTTGGGGCCCAGTCTCCCCTAATTCCCATCGGCATCGATGCATTTTGTTGTAATTGGTGCGGAAATCGAGCCGCAATAGGAGTTGGGATATTGGGCGGTATCGAAGGGTCAGTAAAAAGCTCTTCACCACTTGAAGATGTGGCTACAGATTGAGCGCGTCCATGTTTAGCTGGGTCCTTATTTTTCGCTTGTGTTGTTTTCTTGCGCGCGTATGCGCTTCGTGCCGACATTTTGTGTGATCTGAAGTCGATGAGAATGTAAGTGGCGGGCTGGCTTTGAGACGTTTTGAGGAAACACAAAAGCAAAGGTCTAAAATGAGTCTATAGTAAAGAAAAACAGCGTCTAGTGACTGATCTTCTCTCGATTATGAAGTAGTTGGCCATGAGTGTGGTGTGTGTGCTCGCGAAAGGGTTGTGTCGAAGTCTCATAGGAAGACGTAAAGCAGGGAACCAGAACATTGAAAAGAAAAGCAACAACAGTCTGCTCAAGGATTATTAGCCAAGCAAGGACTCTCGACCGGAAAGAAAACTGACATGTACAGTTCAAAAACAGCATCAAAGCCGTCACAGAGAGGTCTAGATCCTTCAGAGCTCTTACAAGGGGACGGCCGCAGACGTGCGATACTACACTGTCAACTGGGCAGTTGACTATGAGCTACGCCCGCAACTCTTGGAGTTTTAGCTACCGCTGATATGCGCAGGCTTCCCTAGCGTAAAGGTAGTTGACGGTAGCTCTCTCTGGTCCAAGGTGTCAAATGAGCCGAAGCCGGAATGGTCGGCATACAAGAGAGGCCTGTTCTTTAGAGAGCTTGTGAAAGATGCCATGAGTTGAGGCTCTTTCGAAGATAAGATATGCTGAATCCGCGTAAAGTCCGAAGAGTCTTAAGCCACGACCCTATTGTCTCTTGTCTCTGATGGTAAGCACAACAAAGACCAGCCAGGGCAGCAAACGCCATGAAACAAGTGATACATGATCTATCATTAAAAAGCATCTCCGAGTTTAGAAAAACATGTCGTTCTCCTGCAAATCATCATATCCCAAAAGCCTCTTGGCGCGGAAGGCAACTGATAAGCATCCATGCTGATAATCCCAGCACCGCCTATCAACTCCATGATATGGCTGATAAGAATAGCAGCACCACGACGAAAAGCAGTTAGGGATAAACCCACGCTGTCAGCTCACTCATCAAGGGATTGCTACAAGCGGAATAACGCGCCCTGAAGATAGTGACATCGCTCATGCGGGAGCAGTCGCTCGGGCCCATGATGAGCGGACGATCAAATCTTATTGCTTTTTTTCACGTGCGTAGAAGAAAGAGATATCTTGATAACGGGTCGAGGTTGAGGTTATTATTGTGTGTGGTTTGTAATGGGTCAGACAAATCGTCCAGGGTCTCGGTTCTCGGGCCACTATAACCCACATTCCCCCCGCGTTGACTAGGTCCTTATCAGATGGGATGGGATGGAAGAGTGCACTAAACCGAATACAATGTCTACAGATATTGAATGATACAATCCTTGTGCACGAACGATGAGTTATGCAGAAAAGGAAGCAAAGCCGAGGTAAGGATATTTCTGCTTCCAAAAACATCATGGCGTTGATTGTATCAGTTCGCCAAGATTAATCGTCACTGATATGAGAGAGCCAGAGCCCAGTGAACCGTTTCAATCAACCTCGAACTTACACAATGGAAGCTGTGTTCATGGGAGCGGTTATCCGATATACTAAATAACTATTAGACTGGAGACAAGCTCAACATCTAGCTGTAATGCGAAAAGAAGAATGCACCATCAACGCTTACCCTAAACCACGATCGCGACCCATGCTCGACATGTAAGTCGTCAGTATTGGTAGTAATGATGCAATGTCGCAAATTGTTCACGACATATAAGAATGGCTCTTACTGTAGTTCTCTTCGAGGACGTAACAACCTGTACCAAGGCCAAGTTATGAGATCATGCCGTGAACTTTTCATTGACACCGACACCACCATATTCCAGTGGCTTCGCGCAGCCAAGCAAAGATGACGTAAAGTGGAGGATATGCAGCTCGGCAGCTATAGCCGATGACTCCCGGCATGGAAATAAGCGTCAAATGCACACGCAGATCAAGTCTATCTCTAATTGCAGGCTGTTCAACCAACATTGTGGTGTTGATGAAGACGTTCATTCACTGGCATGAGAAGTTGAATAGCAAGACCATGATATAAAATATTCAACGATAGTTTTCTTTTCTCAACCATAACACACCAATACACCATGAATAATACAAAAGTAATCATATAATCGGGCGCTTCTGACGAGTTTGTCAGTTCCTGAAGGGTATCTTGCGGCCGTGTCGCATAAAAAACAATTGAAAGCAAGACGAATCCAACAACCAAAAACTACCGCCGCTCCATTTCCAATTCATGTTATCCATCAATCCATTACATCCTGAATCGTTTAAGCACCATAGTGATGGCCGGGCTTGGTATCAGCGTGAGCAGAGTGACCGCGCGATCGCATGAAAGCGAGAGCCTCCATGATGGTCAATCCAGTGAAGATGGCCCAGATGAAGTACCCAAACGCGACGGCAGCCTGAGCGCATTGACAGAATGTTCGTCCGTGGCAGTGAGGCACACCGATGTGAGCAGCGAGAGCGGTGGCACCAGCGAACCAGAAGAGAGTGGTGAGAGCGAGGACGCCGAGAGCGACCATGTTGTGGTACATGCGGGGAGCGAAGAGAGGCGTAAGGGCGAGGTAGAGGAGCATGATGATGGACCAGACGACACAGAATAGCAGGAATGCATATTGAGGAGGAGAACCGCCTCCCCACCACGAGGGGTTAGTTGCGTCGACGACTGTAGCATTGTTAGATGAGCTCGGTCAAGATGAAGACAGGCGAGGTGAGTAAAGGTTCAGCACTTACGGTATGCGGTGAGGCCCAGCTCAATGATGAGAAAGACTGCCAGAACGGCGTGAATGATGGTGATGATACCCATAGCCATGATGAATACGATACTGATGTCGTATGGCAGAAGTTGTTAGGTGAAGATTCGAGATCTACCGGATTGAAGATGTAGATAGATGGTGTGCTGCTGAGCAGTTCAGTTGAGTTGAGTTCAGTGAGGTGAGGTGAAGAAGAGAGATCTGATCGGTAGCAAGACGAGGGGTCCAGCAGGGGGATATAGCATTTAAATTCACAGCGGCAGCTTCGGGTTCAGTCTAGAAAGAATGGACAATGACGGACAGTGCCAGTCATGGATGGGCCCATTCAAGGAAAGACACCAAAAGGGCCAAGATCGAGGCCAGGCCAGCCCAGCCGCTGGCAGCGTTAGCAGCTAAGGTGCTGCGACAGAACATCTACGTCAGTGAACAAATAGCGTATTCGGCAGTCACCTCAGCCAAGCGCGAAGCTTTCCTCACAAGAGGCAGCCCCAGGCCAATCAAAGACAAACAGAAGTGAAGTGGATGTCTCGAGATCTGCGCTGACGACGACGTTTGAGTGGCTCATGTCTTTTCCTGCTTTCATTTTCAATGCTCCAAGGGCGTCTCACGAATGACGTGGTGCTAAGACCCAAACATCTGACGTTTTGATGCAGGGTTTTAGCAGAGTGCGTGATGTCATCTAGTGGCTGAACATGGCTCAGTTTAAGGCTCAGCAGTCTTAAATTCAGTCAAGTTGGGTGATCATCCCGAATACGAGACCTTTTTCACATTCCTTAGCTGGTTCTGGGCAAAATGTTAAAAAGCATCATCTCATCATATTCTACAAGAGCTTGTGACGCGCACGACTTTTTTGCTCTATCGGATCCGCCCGGAGCTTTTCCTTTCCCTTGGCTGATGGATGCACTGCCCGTAGACCAAGACATCTTTTCTCTCTGTCGGCGCTTGTTGTTGTTCAGTCAATGGAACATAACATCCTGGCCCGGCAATTGGGAGCAGACGTGTTTCAGTCTTGGCAGAGATCTGTTTCAAAACGCCTGACAGAACATGCACGCACCTTTTACGCTTCTCAGAATACGATTGGCTAACAACATCTCACATCTTTGATGAATGCATTAACCGTTACCAGGCCACAGACGAGACAATAGACAAAGGTTTTGTATACTTGGAACAAGCTAATAACAATAAGCGCCTCAATCTCACTCAGTTCTTGGTCCGTATACAACTGTCACAGTTGTCGTCTGAACAATCGCCCGCTCCTCATCATCGCTGCTGTTGCGGGGATCCCACATCTGAGTCCGAGTCCTCACGGCTGCCTCGCCAAACTTATTGACTGACTCTTGTCTACGGAGGTGCCTTATCATCTGTTCTGGCTGCTCGTCTGTCTCATATGCCGTGACCTCGGTTGTCACGGGCTGCGCCTGAACGATTGTTTTGAGGTCGAATCCGGGGTCCTCGATCTGAACACCGAGTCTATCCTTCCGGGTTTTGTTTCTAATGCTTCCTATTGTCTGGAATGGATGTTGTCGTGTTCCTTTACTGGTTGCAGAGTATTGAGCTGATGACCCGCGTTCGCCGATGAATTTTGGTGCGACATGGATGAAGAATCGTCGGAGAGTCGTCAGCGATGCGCATATAATTAAGAGGTTTGCTTCAACAAAGCTGATCCTGTTAGTCGCTGCTATGTCAGGGTCGAGTCGTACTTACATCCAAACCACCGCACTGGAGAGAACCCAGGTGTAGTCGTTTGCATCAACAATTGGAACTAGTAGTACCAGCCGAACCACAGACGTTACAAGTGTTCTGTGTCATCAGTTAGCAAGTGCCAGCTCCCCCAGTTTAGAATCACCAACGCAGAACCAATGACAAACAACACCACAAGACCAGCCTTTTGCCGTCGTGGCATCTGCAACTGCAGAATCATCGGTAACGGCATAACAAGCAGGACAAGATCTGAAAGAATGCCCAGGGCTGCGGTGCAGACATACACCGCTCCTCGATCCACGCATGAACCTTCAAGTATAGTGAGATCCCAGCTCTTCTTGAACGGTGTACAGCCAAAGAGAACCACCAGCAAGATGGCCAGATTATAGCCAGCAACGAGGAAAAAGACGCTATACACGCTCCATTTCCACCATCTTTGGGGCGAAAGCCTTCGGTAGAATAGCGCCAGCGCCATCTTGGAGCAGGCGGTGCATACTGCATATAGGATGGGAGATATGAAGGTGAGCTTCGCTACTGTCAGCGAATATCAGTCACGGCTTGTAAGGTATCTTACCTGATTCCCTTCATTGAACTTTTCGAGAGGGAGTTCCCAAGCATGTACTCCTGTTACACCGAGAATAAATGAACCTGCTACCGTTCAACAGCTGTTCCGTCTACCAGGGATGATTCAGTGGTCAACTTACTAAGAGAAACGACTTGGACCGCTATGGAGAAGATCCACGCAATTACAAGGCAGGCTGCTTGTTCTTAGCACATGAAAACTCGGCCCTGATCGGCGCAAGGTTCTTACCCGTCTCCCCATCGGGTTTACGTAAAACCCAGAGTTTGACATATAAATACTGGGAAAAGAAAAGAAAAGCAAGTGCAGTGCCTATACCCGAGATGACATATGACTCTATGGCATGTCGTTGAAGGGGATGATCAAAGTTTACCGCATAACCCTCGGGTGGTGGAATAGCGACTGTAACGCCGTCAACTATAGGGAATGTGGACATGGCCGCCTCGATGGCCTGCGAGTTGCCAACACGCTCGTTATTGTGACCGATGAGCTCGCTGGTTGTTGAAGATGTTCAACCGAGTGAAAAAGATATGGTCCGTCTTGGCGTTTAATGAGCGTTGAGAATAGATCGGGTTTCGAAATGATAACAAGGGATAGGAGGGAATATTACAAGCCTATTGTATATCTCGATATTGAATCGACAACAGGATATCAATGCAATTATGAATAAGCGCGCACCAGACGCAGAGAATTAATAAATCCAAAACAAAAGAAGAACGATACCAAGAATGAAGAGAAACAGCATGTAAACATGCAATCATCCAACATGCGACGTTCCTCCTTCTATAACATGATACTCAAACCAGCACAATCAAGCAAACGCCCCGACCAAGTCCTTCGAAGCGACAGGTTTCATCCGGCGAGACCGCCTTTTCTTGAGCCATATGGAGCACGGCGGTATTTGTCGAGGACTGGCCATCTTGTGATCTGAGATGTGTTGCAGAGCTAGAAGCATTATTGAAGAATTGACGATGATCCACTGAAGAAGATCAGCGACAAGGATTGCATAGCATCACGCGGCCGGAGAATATTTGAGGATCGTTGTGAAGTGAGATCTGACATCTCTAACCTTGCAGTTTGTGTGACCAGATCTTACTCGCTAGCAGTGATATTATGCATCAAAGTCCCTATTCACATAGTGATCAGCTGTCCCACAGCATCTCACCAACAGTTAGAAATATGCGCCATCTTGATAGCTGAACTCGCTAACAATCTACGCATGGATCACTTCAAGGCTGAACATTCTGCGGGGACATACCCAGCCTAGCTTCTTACAACAACTGCTTAGTATCGTCTCAGCTAAATTATCCCGATGCTTATGCAAACAGACTCTCTCCTGACAAATCTCGCCCGCCCTGTAAGAGACCTAAATCAAGATGCGATTGGCTAGTCATGCGTCCAGTCCAGGAGCTTCAGCCTTTGTATATCTGCTTGATCGCATCGTCATAAAGATGGCGCATGCTTTCTTCATCATCGGCCATCCTCCGTGTCGTCGTGTTCTCAAGGTGTACTATTTCTGGAAGATTATCACTTCTTCCACGTTCCCGAGCGTGCATCTCGATGAATCGAGCTGGATGTGTTTCGGAAACACTTGATCCTCCGCGGCTCTGCGCAACATCGACTAGTTTTCCAAGGACAGCGAACTCAAGCTTGAGTTTTATGGAGTAGATGACGAGTTTGACGCCTTGTTCGATCGTATAGTGGTCCTTGTACATGATGATGAGGAGAGCTATGTCCATGGCTACGATGAGCAGGTTGATGATCAGAAGATACCACATCGTCTTCTGCTTGTTGCCGAGTGACGTCTGTAGTATATCGACCGTGCCCCATAGATACAGTCCTGAGATGACAAATTCTTGCGCACAAAAGAAGGTCATCTGAGTTTTCTCGATGGCGACGAATATGCGGGTGGGATTGTTGCCATCAACACTCGGTCCAATAGTGAATAGCAGCGCTGTCTGCGTCGTGTGCCATATCGTACCGTTGATGACAATCATCCATAGCACAGCGTGCTGTATTCTCAAGTTGTTCAATACCAGGTGCAGTCGTGAGTACAGTACGACGGATTGTCCACTAACGAGTACGATCCAACCGAGCGACGCGATAGCCTTACTCGCATCGGTGCTCAGGATGTCAAGATAGCCAAGCAGCCACCCCAACGCATAAGGAAAAACGCCCAAGGTGGTCAACAGAAGGCTCCAGAAGTAAAGGCCATGATGGCGTTTGAATGTGGAGAAGATCAAGGCGACGAGTTCACAGGCGTTGTATAAGGCTAATGTTGAGGTTGCCTAGCATAGTTAGCACTTGGCTCAAGTTCGCGATGTTAACCAACGTACAATGACTAAAACTGCCTTGGGACTATATAACAGCCCATCTTCCCTGATGTGTATCGTTGAGAGATGCATCCCAGACGAAAGACAGACTCTCACTCGTGGGACCAACGTGCGCCGTGTGGTCGAATACCCCTAGAGATACGATATCGTCAAGACGAGAGATGGATATAAATCCACGTATGACAGCTCATATTGCAAGATAGCTGTAGATAATGAAATTCTTCAAAACCTGGGGTAAAAGACAGAAATCCGGGGGAGGCTTGCAAGATAGTTCCTTGGTAACGATGATGTGGTAACCAAGGCCAGCCCTAGGTGAAGACAGGCATAGCTTCATAGAAGCGATATCCCGAGAGGTTGGTCACTTGCCAATCTAAAGAAAGCCAACAACCAATTATAATCTTCGTTATGGCCCAAGGGGTGCGTTCGATTTCTCTTTATGTCCTGCATTCGAGTAGTGCAACATGTCATTGGCAGGGGAGAGTTACCCTGAAGGTTTAGGGTCGTGGAGAATTGCCATATCGAGAGATCGCCCAATCAAGAAACATTCAACTGAGGCAACCTCTCCACTGTATTTATACATGAAGGGGTTGGTTCTGGGTAGTTTACGGTGTTGGGTGTCGATGAGATAAATTCAATACTTATTAGCCGTTGTGGTGGTCGCAACCTCTGCATAACCGTTGAACATTATCACCACAGATCAAACGCACGCCACACAGTTTTCACAAAAACAACAAAACTCAACTCAAACGTTTTTCTTCAACGTCTAACTTCTACTTATCTAATCTCAGCCCTAAAGCTTAAGACCGAAGCAGTTGGCATAATAAGTAACAGTCGAGCTCCAATCCGAGAAGACACCAGCAACGCCAATCTCCCGGAAAACATCCAACAATTTAAGCACATCACCATCATTGTTGATGAGCTTAGCAATAGTAGTATAATAATAGTTACCGTCGGCGCCGTTCTTCAGAGGACCAGATCGCTCCAGGGTCCAGGTGATGATCTTGAGACCGAGCTCATTCGCCTTCTTCGCATACGCGCTGGGAACAATCTTGCCGTTCTTACCGGGTGTGACTAGATAGGGCAGAGGAGGGGCGATGTAGCGAACGCCATCCTCCTTGTAGCGGGTGAGGTTGGCAACGGCCTTCTCGAAGGTCTCGGGTGTGTCGCCCGTCTCGTCGAGATACATGGCTTGACGAGCGTACTCGGGCTCGGCCTTGAGCCAGTACAGAATGTCATCGTACAAAAAGCTCTGGAGGTAGACGTCGCTGGGCTTGACGCCAGCTTGCTTGTGCTCGTCGATGAGTTGCTGAGCGTACTTCTTCTGGGTATAATCACCGTCAAAAGGCATCTTGACCTCTGGTGTCTTGAGCTCAGGAGTGTGCTTCAAACCAAGTCGCTTGGTGAGTTGAATGTGCTCCTTGTTGCTTAGAACTGTACCGCAAGTAGCGTACAGATCGGTTCGCCAAGGGGGAGTACCGTGGAGGAAGTCGGCGGCGTTGGTGGCAGTGGCATTGAAGCCCTCCATCTTGGCGCAAAGAGTCTTGAACTCCTTGAGGGTAATGTCGCTGGTGCAACACTTGGCAGAAGCAGGCTTGCCATCCTTGGCAGGCTTGAAAGGCTGAGTGCACTTCTTGTTGAGCTCGGGGATCGTAACGATGTTGGTCGTGTAGTGAAGATCGCACTGAGAGTGTCGGCACACGAGCTGTCGATCCTTGGTGAAAGCAACATCACACTCGAGGATACCAGCGCCCATTCGAGCACCAGCCAGGTTCGACTCGAGAGAGTGCTCAGGGAACTGCAGAGTACCACCACCACGGTGGGCAATTGACCACTCGGAGGGCTTCTGGGGCTTCTCCGAGCACGATTGAAGCTTCTTCTTCAGCGAACCCTCGTCCATGTCGTTGACGAGGTAGTAGGGTCGAGGGCCGAGCTCAATCTGCTTGATTGGCTTGACAGTCTTGAACAATTCCTTATCGCCATAGCTAGGCTTGGGAGCAGCCACGGCAGGGCTGACAACCGCAAGGCCAGCAACGAGAGGAGTAGAGAAACGCATCGTGAACAAGACAAGTCAATTGATTGACAGAGGAGGAAGCAGGTTCAATGGAACAAGAGACACCGACAAGGCTTGGCGATGACCAGCAATTGAGGCCTGAATTGAGTCTGAGGCTGGACCAAACACCAAAACTTCTCGATACTACCTGGGCCCTCACCTGGCTTTATGGACGGGAGAACTGCACGTTGATTCCCAGCTCGATAAACCTATCTGGGCAAAGCACCGAGATGACGTCGCAGGATCCCCAGGGACAAGCCCATTCACAAAGAACATCCCTACAGGATGTGGTTTTTGTTGAACCTTCGGTGTTGGTTATCGGCCTAGACGAGACGAATTGAGCAATCACATCGCAGATCACAGCACTTGCAGACCAGCTTCTGCATAGAGCAGAAAGGTCCCCCGAGCTAGCAGTAGGCAAAGTCCGTACGAGACAGGCATCTGTGACAAGCACGTGTAGAGGAGACGTGGGTGTCGTTGGAGGTGGAAGCTAAGGATAAGCTTAGCAGCGTTACACTGAACCGTTCAGCTAGAGGCGTGTTTAGTCTGGACCTTGTGATTTGCCGAAACCTAGCTTAATTGAACCCTTGCCATAGCCACGCATAACCCGGTCGAGATATCGAGCATCTTTGGAAGGTGTATGAATAAAGTTGGCGAACCATTCAATCGAAAGTCGGCGATTCATGCATGTGCATACATGGGTAAGCCATGCTGTCATAGCATCTCACTGCTACCCAAACTCTTGCTTGCGCTTTTGTATGCCACATTACAACTCGTCCTTGTCCCCATCTTCAACTGCATACCCCTCCCGGATCCTGCGAACTTCCTCGGCTGTGACTCTGAAATGCTCAAATGAGGGCGCATCCTCTCCAAGGCCCCAAGCAAAAACTCCTCCAACTCCGAGCTCTGACACGACTTTGCTGAACTTTGTCCTAATGCTCTTTTTAGTGTCAAATGTCCACCATCGCCACTCTTTCTCGTCCCAATAGAAATAGCTTCCATCTCTATCATACTCCCCGTCTATTCTCGCACGTTTAAACGATGTAGATTGGTCCTGGGGAACCTCATCATGCCAGCTAAAGCCGCCTGTCTTGCCAAGATCAGCCCCGGTCTCGGGATCCTCAAGCAATTGAGTAGGGCACCCGAGAAGCTTTCCCTGGAAGCATTCCTGGGTCATAAACCATTTGACATAGTAGCCGAACCCAAGATTGAGCCGGCTAGGTGATGCGCCGCGGTCGATGTAGCGCTGGATGGAGTCTCGAGAATCCGAGACACCACTGTGATGCTTGGTCACGATATCTCGGCGGTTCATCAGGTCGTATGTCATAATGTTGAGGAAGTCGACTTCTTTCATGATCTTTGGCACGGTGGTGGGCGTAAAGGCCATCAAATCGACCTCTTTACCTGGAACAGCCGCTGAAAGAAGTTTATCGGCACCAACAGCGGCACGCAGCTCCTGGAGGAGCGATACAAAGGCATTGATTTCCCATTCGTGCTCAGAGTTGGGGATTTGCTTGTAATCGTCACGGTTGCCTCTGTTGCAGTCAGTCAGTAAGCGAGTAAATGGTCAATATTGCGATATTCCTTACCCAGGATACTCCCAGTCAATGTCGATGCCATCAGCGCCCGTCGCAGTGGCCATGGCCGCAACCTGGCGTGCCCATCGCTTCCGCATGGTTTCATTCTTGGCAGCTTCCTCGAAACCTTGAGTATCGCCCCATCCTCCGATAGCTACCATTACCTTGGTGTCGTCCGGGAACCTTTTGCGGACATCAGAGACAGAGGTGAACAGCGGGTAGTCGTCAGGTTTGTAGTCAACGTTGAAGGTCTCGGAGCGCATGAATGCCAGAATGACATGCGAAACATCTTGAAGTGCGCTTTTTGATGGGACAATATCATGTTGTCTAAAATTGCAGTCAGTGAATATTCTGAAAATCTTAATTGCCGACGAGGAAGGTGCACTTACCCAGTGAGATACATAACGCAACGGAATGGCTCGGCTTGGGACATGGCAGTCGCGGTCACCATCGCCAGAAGTAGCAGATGCCATGGGAAAATCATTCCGATGATGCGCATTTTGGAAGGATCTTGATCGCCTGGCGATTGCCTTCCTTATGCTGAACGGGAGAGGGCAACTGATTGAGGTGCGGCTTTCTCAATTGGCCCACAGATGCAGGTCTAGGTGAGGTGGATGTTTCTTAACCAATGCTTCAGACGGGAGGAGCCTATATGCTTTCAACCTGATTCACCAACCTACCTCACGAAACCATAAAAAAAATCTTTTAATGCATGTTCGTTCTGATTCTGGTACAAATTAATTCGTGTTTCCTATTCCCTAATGCAAGTCCCCCCCAATAAGAACCCGTTTGCGCCTGCGTTCTATCCTGTCTAGTAACATGCCACAATAAGACGCTCCCTCGCAAATCCGTGCCTGGGTATTGTATTATACAGCGGATAAAACCGCATCAACGCCAGAGCCTCCAAGTAATCTACAAAAATAACCCCCCCCCAAAAAAAAAATCGTGGTATCGTGTTCGCTTCGTGTTCGTGTCATCAGATCCAACCCTGTCTAAATCAGTCCTCGACTCTTGAGAATCCGACTGAGCTCCTTGAGCTGCACTGGCTTGGAGAGAAACAGATCCAGTCCGTTCGCAAAAGCATCCTCCTGTGCATCCTGCGAGGCGAGGCCAGATATGGCGACGATATGTCTTCGAGGCAAATTTGAGGCCTTCTCAAAACCTCGAATTTGTCGTGTAGCCTCAAACCCGTCCATTACCGGCATGGAAATATCCATCAAAATACACTTGTAACACCCTTCTTGAGCTTTGTAACACTCCAGAGCTCGGAGCCCATCCGAGGCCGAGTCGTACTCCACACCCAGCTTCTTCATGTAAGTTTGCAGGATCCTCATATTGATAGCATTGTCTTCTACCAGAAGGAACCGTTGATCCGGAGGTGGTGGATGTACTAGTTGCAAAGCAGGCACTGATGGTAATGGAGTCTGTGTGCCATCGTCATCCCAATGCGCCCTTCTCTTCTTAGGAGTTAACATTGGAGCAATGTCAAAATATCCGCGGTCTTTGTCACTGGGCCCATGTCTGACAAGATCGGCTTCTGTCATCGGTACAGTTGGCGGCTCGTCGAGTCTGGTCGAGACACTGGCACGGTCCGCAGCTGTTGCTTGTAATTTTGTCCAACGCCTGAAGCAGAGAACAAAAGCTTTGGCAAGCTTCCTCGGCCCAACACTAGATGAAAATGTCAGCGCCAAGGAATAATTAGCCACAAAAAGGTAACTTACGGGCGCGATATGAAACTAAACAACCCCCAATTGAGCTTGCGATATGACCTCTGTGATCTGTCAAGCGATTGGGCAACCGCAGCACTGCGACAGACCACGATAACTGGCGACGAAAGCTCGTCTCGAGGTTGGTTTGCTATCGTTTCAAGATGAGATTCGTCACAAAGGATCAGGTCAGGAAGATATTCGGCGTTGTTCAGAGAATCGACGACTTGCATGCGCAACCACTCGCGGCAGACCTTTTCCAGCAAGGCATGTTCGTCGAACTCCCTAGAATTCCAACGTTGACTATCTGAGCCACCTCCCCTGAAAGGTGTGAAGCCGTTGATACAAACGCGGAGACCTGACAACTCGACGACCTGGGACTGAAACTCCTCCCTGGCGGATATCGTTTCCGTCGAATCAATGCTGACAGCTTGTAGTGGAAGCTTCACCGCGATGCGGGTTCCCGTGCCCACCTTGCTTTCAACATGTATGGAGCCTCCGAGGGCTCTAACAAATTTCCTAACAAGACTCAACCCAAGGCCAGCGCCCGAAGAATGGATATTCTCTTGAGAGAACGGAGCGAACAGGCGGTGGTTGAGATATTCTTGCCCGATGCCAGCTCCTGTGTCAGTGATATCGATATGAACGACTCGGTCCCTTAACCGGTTTTGCCCAGGAGGATCCTGGTAGGCGGAAACTTTGACATAACCCCGTGTAGTGTACTTGAGGGCATTGCCGCAAAGATTCATTATTATGCGCCTCAGTGCCCCTGACTCGACATGAAACGCCCAGTCTACTGCTGGGTCAATGTCCAAGATCACAAGGACCGCATCAGGACCAGCTCTATTGCTGTTCTTGCCTCCGGCCTTGATACTATCCGCAACTTCCATACCATCAAGGCGAGTAAAAGGGTCACGATTGAGTTCTTCATTCGGCTTATTATCTTGAAGAAGCGAGAGTGATTGCTGTTGGTAGGTGTGGCCCGCATGAATACATTCCACAACTTCTTCCACCAACATGTCCAGATCCAGATTTGAGGTGATATGCATCATACCGTCCGTTGGTTTGCTTCTCTGAGTAGACTGTGCGCCTCTCCTGTAGGCAGTACTTGAGTTTGGCGACTGTGCGTTGGGTGCCTTGACAAAGTTGTTGATGCGTGTCCAATCAAGCAAGTGATTGATCGTGTCCAGGAGTGTACGACCACAGACCTCAAGGGACCGCAATACGTCGCCCTGGAATACATCTAGTGCGGTATCGTGTAATAGTTCAGCACACAGAACAATGCCGTGAAGAGGAGACCGTAGCTCATGTGATAGGGAGCTGAGTAAGGATGTCGTCGCCATGGATACAATAGAACTCTCCATCATTGCGACGTCTGCCATGATGACTGCGCTGAATGCTGCAAGGTAGCTCAGCTCGCCCTGGACCGTAAAGATGCGGGTTGGTGTCATTGTATAGACAAAACACCCAGAAAACCAGCGCTCTCTGTGAGAGTCCCAGAGAGGTACAAAAGCGACGCTGCGTGCTCCTGGGAACAGATCACGAATAGCCATGCCTTCATTTCTTCGTGAATAAGGGTCATTTGCCTTTCGCGATTTTTGGTTCTCGCCCGTTTGTCCTTCTTGATTGCTCCGAGCTTTCTGGGCTTGGAAAGCTGCCATAGCCCAGTCTTCGCTTGTCGGATCACTCGATGCCAGCACTCCATCACCATCAAAGTTGAAGATCTTACCTTTTGGATAGCGGCGTAATAGCCTCTGGAGCTGCCGCTCAGGGATGGCTCGACTGCGTCCTGTGGGGGCTTCGCCATTGATGCTGGAAGACAAAGACGTAGAGAATCCAAGGACAGGGCACATAGCGCCCGGGGACCGTGAATCTGCTAAATTCCTGGGAGATGAGACGGAAATATTACCTCGACTTGGGGAGGATGAAGATGAGGATGAAGACGAAGAACGATCGTGGATCTGTGAATCACGTCGTAAAGAGCCGGACCGGATTCTGCCAGCAAAAGAGCCAATACCCGCATCCAAGAAGAGGACCCCCTCGACTTCAATCGACTCGCGTAGTATGTTTGCTGCTTTGGAAAATATTTGGTTCAGCTGATATTGTCGTGATTCTTCCCCCGTTGGAGCCGAATGAGGAGGCTTGCCAGTTGCGTGAAAGGGGCTTGTCGGCCTTTTCTCGCTAGGGCTTTCAAGAACAAAGGTATCTGGTGTCGCTATGTTTTCCGTGTCGGCAACAGCAGTGGCATTATCTCTCTCGTTCTGAATTTTCTGTTGCGTCTGGTTGAGAGATCCTTCTTCTGTACTAGCATCGGTATTGAAGGCATGAGTGGAACTGGTCTGCCATCCTGACATGGTGGTCTTTCCCTCCACATAGCTTCCCAAACCGCGAACCATGCGTTCACCAGGACGTCGGCCATCTCCAGATCGTGTTAGTTCCATTTGTCCCAAAACAGATGCTGAAATATCTCGCATAACTTGAATTGATGCTTCGTCAAGTGTCTCCCGTGGTTCGTTGTCGAGAATACAGAAGACGCCGATGTTGATACCTCGACGAGTTCGGATTGGAACTCCCGCGTAGAACCGATGCTCAGGTCGTGTCTGATAGTACCAGGTATTTCGAAACTCTTCATTTTTAGCGAGGTCACCTATGACCGTAACAGGCAGCTCAAACGTTGATGGTGCTTGCTGTGGTTCACCAAATTCTTGGGAAACCAGTATGCGATCGCAAATACCATAGGCTCGAGGTATTGCTGTGCCACAAAGCCAGAGGCTATCAGAATCAGAACTGGGGGGGTTGGCGTGAGCAGATATGCGAAGCGTAGGGGTAGCTTCGGCGATAATATGCTGGTGTTGACAATCAAATAGAGATATCATGGCACGAGAGGCGCCAAGTCTCAAGAGAGCCACCTGGGCCAAGGCTGTCATGGCAGGGTCCGAGCATGGCCGCAATGAAGACGATGGGATAAGGTTTGCGACATCATTGCGAACTGAGTTGGCGACAAAGACCGAGTCATATCTGAGTATTTGTTAGAAGAGTCTGTCTGACAGGTTCAATTGATGGTAGCGGATGACAATGCGACGAGTGGGAGGACGAGAAATGTTAGAAGAATGCCGTACTTGAATGTCTCCCGTTCGCGAGTTGATTCGGAGACCTTGTTACCAGTCATGATCGACAACTGCAACGTACTTAGCCCATGCAAGCAGCCTCGGCAGGGGAACAGATCCTCGGGCGAAGTTGGGGGTTGTGTGGTTTAACAAGCCTGTTTTAAAATAGCCTGTCCTCGAGAATTTAGCCCGATGTTGGGAGGATTACTTAAGGATCACTCTATCGCACTCCGTCTTGTCTAGGTCTGATTCTAGGCTGTCCTTCCACCCAGGTCTCGACCTATCGCCACCCCGCTTGGCCTCCAACGGCCCTAAAACCATCCTACAGTGGAACCACCCGGGTGAGCGACAGAAGATCGATCGATTTAGCATGAAACCTCCGGCCGCTCATGGATAAGAATTTATGGGCATCTGACTGAATCAGGCACGCATAAGCTCAAGGTCATCAGGCGCTCTCTGATTTCCAAAGATTATAAAACACGAAGAAATAAGTCTATGCCGCTTGCTTTGATAGCACGCGCTTGGAAAGGGAAAAAAGCAAGGTCAAGATATCAATGACGAAGCTATGATGCGCTCAACAATTGATAGCAATTTCCCATGTTCAAAAATGCATCCAGAGGTGGGAAAACAAGATGTTTTGCATAAGCTTTTAGCGTGGGTGGGTGCCTGGATTCTAGAATGGAGCTACGCACCTCACAGTCTAGAATTCCTGGGCCCATTCATTACAATGTTGACCAAAGCAATGGTGAAAATCGACTATTTTATAAGTCTATAGGAACTTATAAGGAATACTAAGGGATGGGATAAGTTTTAGGAGATATAATAAAGATCAGAAAAAATAATTGAAAATATTGCGCTATAGTAGAAGAATCCTCATAATAAATAATGTATTCCCCGTCGAACCGAGCCTCAAACAGTACTAAATGCGTTATCGCACCGATAACACAGTAACGCCCATTGGCCCAAACTTTCTTTTTTTTTTCTTCGTACTTTTCAAGCAAGCTGCACCATACCATTACCTGAATAACTATCAAGCTTCGGTTCCAAGATGTTCGAGAATACATGTACCCTGCCTCTGTCGGCAGACGTATTCACAACAGCCCTCCACCCGTCGGAGCCCCTCCTGACGGTCGGTTTATCGAGCGGCCACGTCGAGACCTTTCGACTGCCATCCAGCTCTTCTTCTGACGAAAGCGCCGATGCCGATGGAGACACGAGCGTGCTGAGCGACGGCAAGAGCATGATCGAATCTGTCTGGCGCACTCGGAGACACAAGGGAAGCTGCAGATCCTTGGTCTACTCGCACGATGGTTCAGGTAAGCTTCCTACAAGCTTCGTTGTGACTGCTAACCTAACATGTTGTAGCTGTCTATTCAGCTGGAACCGATTCGCTGGTAAAGCACTTTGATCCCAAAACCGGCCAAGTTATTTCCAAATTTGTGATCCCTTCTGCGACTACGGTTCCCGATGCACCGACGCTCCTCCACGTCCTGAACCCTCAGAGCCTGCTTCTCGCGACCGACTCGGGTGCCCTCCACATCATTGACCTAAAAGACGGCAAACTGGGAAAGAAGCCCGTTCAGACTCACTTTCCTCATGCCGACTATGTTTCTTCTATAACACCTTTGCCTCCCACCAGTGCTAGCACCAGCGGATTCCCGAAGCAATGGGTCAGCACTGGCGGTACTACGCTCGCTGTGACCGATGTTAGGAGAGGAGTGCTTGTGCGCAGCGATGACCAGGAGGATGAGCTGCTGTCTTCTTGCTTCGTTCCAGGCATGGGCCCTAAAGGACATCGCAACAATGGTGTTTTGGCGGTAGGATCCAGCTCGGGCGTATTGACCATGTGGGACAAGGGAGCCTGGGATGATCAGCAGGAACGAATTATCGTTGATGGCGACAAGAAGGGCGGCGGTGAAAGTATCGATGCTATGGTCTTGGTCCCGCAAGAGTTGGGACTGGGCAAGAAGGTCGTCTGCGGCGTAGGTGACGGCAGCTTGCGTGTGGTCGACCTCGTCCTTAGGGAGGTGGACGTCTCGGCCAATTTGCGTCACGATCATATGGAGAGCGTTGTATCGCTGGGTTTCGATTGCGAGAACCGCCTTATCAGTGCCGGTGGAAAGACCGTGAAGCTTTGGGAAGAACTATCTGCGCTCCAGGGAGGCAACGACGATGATGATGAAGAAGATGATGAAGACGACGAGAGCGACGAGAGCGACGCCGAAGAGAATGACAACGGCAAGCGGGCTGCTGACAGCGACAGCGACGACGACAGTGAGGAAGACCAAATTGCGGAAATGAAGCGCAGGGCCAAGAGACGCAAGGAGGCCCAGCAGAGCAAACTTGGGCCCATGGGAGCCCACGGCATTATGGGGTTTGAGGGCTTGGATTGAGCGGAGTTTTTCGACGATGAAAATGCTGTTACGATACCCGGGGTAGACATGAAGTAGTGTGATCAGATGGTCAGAATGGCCAAAGCTCAAATCATGGGCGTAGATAAATTTCATTACAAGTATGAGGGATCAGTATTAATGTTGACAACCTTGCAATTTTTTCATGTCTGGCTATCTATCTAATTTATGAAGAAGCCCACCCTAGGAGGTGGACATCCAACGACTCATGTGCAGTTGGTATTCTTCCCAAACGAAGCACGATCACATACATAGTGAAATAACCAAGAACCCATTCGTGTTGAGTCGTGGGGAGAAGTATCCCTCGGTCGATGCTACATGACCTTCGGTGATAGTTCTTTGAGGCCCAGTAGCCTTATGTTTTGACTCGAGACCCAGTAGTCTCTTCTGATGAGTCTTCTCGAAGCCCAGTAGCTTCGGAAAGTACAAGTGCACTTATTCTATCCCGGAAAGGGGGCAGAAGCAAATACCTTGTCATTGAACATGGCGCCAAGGATTGCATCTGAACCGGTGACTAGAGAAAGGACTTGAAGCGGCACCATCCCCAGAATTACTCTATCAGAGAGTACTTTGGAAGACTTAGCCGATGGTCGATGTCTTGCAGAGAAGCGCGACGTCCCAGTGATGAAGTGCAGAGAACTAGAAAACTCTGCAGACCGGGGGTCATGCTCCTTTCTCCATGATTCTCAACCGCGTGAAGGGTGAGGCGGGGGTTGGTGGCGTGCGGTGTGCGAAAATCGCGAAAATCATTATGATCCCAAATCCGAGAAATCGGTGCGAGGGTGGGGATCCAGGTATGAGAATAGGAGATCGAAAGGCTCCTCACAGGTACAAGACAGGTGATTTTAAAAGAGATGATAAAAGAGATGTCTAGGTGGACAAGACCAAAGGTGTTAAACGCCTGGAATGTGAAGGTAACTCCAGCAGGCATCTTTTGACTTTGGCAGCGTGTCGGCTCGAGCGAAGTCCTCCATGACTTTCTCTTCACTGGGCGCTGAGAATCGAGTTGGAGAGCTCATGGTGAGGTTATCGTCGTAAATGATAACGGTGGGAAGTATCCTGGTGTCGTGGCCGCTGCCCTTTTCTTCGGAAGATGAGTCGCTAGGTCCTCCGCCTGGGTGGCGTTCACTTCCACTGTATGTCGTAGGGATGCAAATGTGAGGGATTCCTTTCCGTAAGCCAACGGCTCGGGCCAAAGTAACAGCAGAACCTCCCCCGACGCTGATAACGCAATCTCGTCCAGATGCCCGGGCTGGCATGGTGGTATTAGATAAACAGAGAATTCGACTGTCGAGATTAGGAATAACGGCTTGAATTTTGCGAGCGATATTTGATCTTGAAGGGCTCGACACAATGAGTGGTGAAGACAAATGCAACCGAGCCAGCTCAGACGGTAGACGATGAATTGCGCCAGGGCCAACAACCAAACGAGGTGACGAAGAGTGACGTTTTGGTCGGCGTTGTCGAGATCGAGAGGGAGGTCGCTGGGCCGTGCCGGGCGGACCAGCGTGCGAAGATGGAGGAGACAAGTTGGTGCCTGGCGGCGTCACAAGAGCGGACGCCTTGAGGGCGAGAGCGTCAAGAAGCTTGTCACGGATAGCAACGAGATCGGGATCAGTAACTTTTCGTGGTGACAAACGATGTATGGCGGTGGTGGAGTGGCGCATGAAGGGCCGATGCCGGCTGTCCGGAAGTCTCCAGCAGCGGTAGCGGTTGTTGAGGTATATCGAAGTCCAACCTGCGCGACATCAATCAAGTGCCCAGAATGACAACAATAATGGATTGAAGACGAAAACTGGAAAAGAAGAAATCGACCGAGATTTGATGAAAGTTCAGAGATTCACAAGTCAGAAACATAGCACAAGGTGAGCTAGGGCACATTATTATGGGCAGATAGAATAGGCGTGACCTGGGACGAGACAACGAGACGAGCGAGACGTTTGAGCGAAAATCCGTTAGCAGCACCTGTTTCTGCCTGTGAGAGTGACCGTTTGTTGTGGTTTTTCGCCACAGAAAAAGACGCCACCTCTTCCTTTTGGCTAGGGAACTAGGAGCTTAGGCGTAGGAGAAGAGGAAATTTGGTCTCTTTGTTTTTAATAATACATCAAAAAAAGGGTCCAACCGATGGTCTGGAGCCTAAGATGGGGGAGTTCAAGTGGCAACGCCTAGTCTGTTGGGGTATGGGTGCCAGTCCCTGCGTGAGACCCTGAAAACCTGATGTGAGAGGGGGCAAAAGGTGTACTGTTTCTGTCATGAAGACGTCAAATGTGTAACGGAGGGGGATGCCCTTGACCCCTAAAACCACCTTAGGAGCAGTTTATCCGTCCCGGCCGGAGGATAACCCCGTTAAGTGGAGCAATGATCGGAGCAAAGTCTCGTGGTAACGGAGCAAGTCCGCCAATGAGAAGTCATACGGAGGATCGCCGTTGGCTGTAGACATGGAAGGAAGAGAAAGAAAGAAAGAACTGGCAAAATAAAAAAAAGTGCATCCTTTGTGTCATAAAATCCATATTACCTCAGTGTTGGTATTGAATAACAATATGATTGGTTGTTCTTTCAAGGCACTGGTGACTTTGATAGGTGTAAGCGCTACAGCAGCTCCGTTACAAGAAGACGGCAAAAGCTCTTCTTAGAACGTTCTTGCTGAGGTAATCCAAATTTGAATCTGCGACGTTGCTGCTTTTCCGGGACTCATGCGGATAATGCTGCAGGGACGCAAGGCTGAGTAAACTTGACCTGACTGACCATGATATCTGTTACAACCATGGTATTGTCATCGTTAGAACAGTATCTCAAACGGTTCATGGTTTCGGTAGCTGATTGTTACATTACTCGTCTATATCTGGAGGCCTCTAACAAACGAAGGAGAAAGAACACAAGAGGTAGGATATAGAAGGAGAGCGCATTAGGCCTCCTTTCATGTTGCAAATAGAGCTATAGAATGGGATAGAGTGTCAAAGAGTGAGTGATTATATACAAGCGAGTCGTCACTTACATCAGAGATGAGGCTCATGCTCAAGGATGGAGACCAAAGCACTTTATTAAGTAACAAAAACTCCATGGATGTGGAGAGGCAGGCACATAACGGCAGTCTCCGGTGCCTCCCGCCTTTAGCTCAAGCCAACCTGCCCCTCTAAGCTCTTGCCTGATATTTCCTCTTGCTGGCCTTAAAACACCAGCTTATTTTCTCCCTTTTCAATCATTGTCGCATCAATTACCAAGATCAATCTGGAGCGCTGGCGGCCTTTACGCAATTCCATGACTTTGTCGCCGCTTGTTCTAGTCTCGCAGCTGTGATAACATCTCCAACCGACCGATCGCCCTTCTTTCAGCTCCGTACAATCATCTACATCTTCAAAATGGAATTTATTGCGCAGTCGCCCGCCTCCGTTCTCCCAAGAATCACAAGCTCTTTGCTATCATCACCGGACGCAGCCGACAGCCGATTTTGCTCCCATCTCTATCTTATCTGATAAGCTTGTGGTTGGCCGACGGCTCATGGCCGAGCACAACTTCAGCACGCATATATGCTAGCAAACTGTGGCGTACAATGCATGCACGCTGGAGATAAACGGGAACGAGTTGGATGGTTGAATTCCGACGGTCACTCCAACTTGGTGCCATCTCCTTTACAGAGTCATCCGACTTCACAAACTGATTATCTATCAGCCCTTGGGTTGAAGCTCAGAATGATATCCAGCAGGGTTCAGCTGGTCTTGTCCCTGCTCAAGCTGAGTTTATCATCACAATCCTGGCCATGATAGACAGCCGAAGTCGCATATTCCGTGGCGACGGGTGACAACTCCAGACGATGCGCCGATGCGCTATCTCATCCCCTCGATTCGAACCCAGCCCAATGGTTGTGACAGGCCGTACTCCTCTGTTCGTCCCCCACGTCCCGAGGTGCATCTCCAAAACCGGTTCCCCGACTGGCCGGCCTGATAACAATCCAACTCTATTCATGCCAGCTCCCCATCGTGGAATCTGGGGTTGCATATTTAAACAAGCGATTGTGCGCCATCAAGTCACCAATATCAGGCTTCAGATTAGCATCGCATGTTTTCTTAGCTGACCTTGTCTTTTGATCTGCATCTCATCTCACCTCGCTTGGGGCTCTTGGACCCGGACCCGCAGACACCCACCCGCTGCCCCATCTCTAACCATTTGTCAAGCATCTGGGGAACAAGAAGCGCTGATAAGCTATCTCTGGATCCACGAGTTATCAGTTACAAGTTTTGGGTCGCTAAGCCTAAAAAATAACTCTAGTCACTCCCGAAAACGGCCTCGTGTGTTCGCCAATCACTTCAGTTGTTATACGGAGAGACATTAGAAGTATAAACTTCCATATTGCCCATATCCAATTTCAGTACTGGAGTCATTCAAAGCTATCGCCACTTATATTCATCCAAAGTTGACATCCGAAGCCTGTGTCCGTTGAGTTGATTGACGCCAAGATACCTCTTTCGCTTGTACCCCTCGACGATCGACGCCATCGACACTGAGCCATTCCAGTGTTGGCCTGTTTCTAATTTCTTCACACAACTCCATCTTACAACTTTAACAATGGATGAGGATCAAGGACCACAGTCCATTGCGCCCGAGCATGCGCCACCGAAAACACTTGCTCAGCGTTGCAATGGCCTCGTCAAGGCATTTACTACCAGGCACGGCCTGATTGGCGATTACGACTATGCCTTTCTCTTTCGACCAAACCTGCCATTTATGAAGAAGAGCGTCAACCCAAGTCCCTTCTTTGGACTCAATGATAAGATGCCAGTTCTTTTGGGCTTGCTACTCGGCTTCCAACATGCATTAGCCATGCTAGCAGGTGTAATTACACCACCCATAATCATCAGTGGCAGCGCCAATTTACTACCTGAGCAACAACAATACCTCGTCTCAACCGCTCTCATCGTTTCTGGCATCTTCTCTGCAGTCCAAATCACTCGTTTCAGGCTTTTTGGTACACAGTAAGTTTTCTC